TACCCAACTTATCTGTGACACTGTAATTCAACAGGCCCAGGTTTTAGAGCTCAGGGAATCTAATTTAAAATAATTTTCCCAGGGCCTCCCTGGTGGCGCAGCGGTTGAGCGCTGGTTTGTGAAGCTGCCCGCAGCCTCTGTAGCGCCGGTTCCATCCCCGGCCACCGGGTGAGGGTCCAACATGGCGTGCAGACCTCTTCTGGTGCCCGCTGCTCCCCTCAGCAGTGTGTTTCATCAGTCTGCCTGCTCTGCTCCCCGCTCTGGCTCTGGTGAATTCTCTCGCCCTCCCGTGCTTCTGACTATACCCAGTGCTTGTATAAATAAATAAATAAAAATAAAGTAAAATAATTTTCCCATAGTTGTTCTCAATTCTGACTAAACTTTAATTCACCTGGGACCTTAAATATCCCATTGACCAGGAGCAGGAGAGGCAAGAGCAAGGTCAGGAGGGGGCGCAGTGGAATATGGTGGTGGACTATGGGTGCTTAGGTGGTAGGTGTGGTAACAATCCCTGAAGGGGGGCATCTTATAATTCTAAAATACAAACAAACACAATGTAAAACAACTTTACCTCAATAAAATAAATACACACACACATATATGTTTATTTTTATTTATTTATAAAATAAATAAATAAATAAATAAATAAAAATAAACATATATATAAATAAATCCCATTGTCAGCATTGTACCCCAGAACATTGTATCTCAGACTCTCTGGTCTGGCATCCAGACGTCAAGATCTGTGAATATTCCAACATGATTTCAATGTGCAACCAAGGCTGAGAAACACTGCTTTAGAACAGGACTTCACAAACTGTTTCCCAGAATATCATCACAGCAAGAAGGGAAAAGAGGAATGTAGGATTGGGAATGAAATGGGAGAGAAAAGACCAGGATTAAAAGTTTGTTTCTGGGGGCCTCCCCGGTGGCGCAGTGGTTGAGCGCTGGGTTGCGAAGCTGCCCGCAGCCTCTGCGGCACCAGTTCGATCCCCGGCTGCTCCCCAGCCACCGAAGGAGGATCCCACATGGCGTGCAGACCTCTCCTGCCGCCTGCTGCTCCCCTCAGCAGTGTACTGCGGTCCTTCTGCCTGCTCTGCTCCCCGCTCTGGCTCTGGTGAATTCTCTCACCCTCCTGCGCTTCTGACTGTACCCAGTGCATGTATAAACAAAACAAACAAACAAATAAAATAAATAAATAAAACATGCCTCTATTTAAAAAAAAAAAATAAAAAAAATAAAAAATAAAAGTTTGTTTCTGTCTCATGGAAAAACTACTTCATCTCCCTGAGTGTCTATTTCCTCAAATGAAGATAGTGATAGTACTTACCTTTCAGGAATGCTGTGAGGATTAGATGAGATGATATATGTGAAATCACCAAGGACCATCCAGCTATTCCAAACATTGTCCCAAGAGCTCATTGAATGAATGTGTTTTTTTCCCCTTCAGCTGTCCCCTTTGTGTCCATATCAATCCTGTGCAGAATTAGACTTCTAGGGCAGGGAACTAACACTCCCAAAGTTTCTACGAATGAAATGAGTTTTGGAAATGGGAGGTATGTCCTCAAGGCTTCTCGTGGTTGCTGTTGGCATGTTCAGCCCTCCGCTCACTAGAGTTATGAGTCTGCCAGTTTGCTAAATGTTTACTCGGAAGGGCAATTTTGTTTTCATAATACAGGAACACTTTAGCTATTACTATTCACCTTCCCCATTGCTCCACATAGCTCTTTGAGTTCCCCTGAATGTGCCCCCAGGTACCTTTTGTTTAGTACCATCCAGCAAATTAGGGGAGGTTCTTGAATATGTTTCTTCAGTAAATGCTAAGTTCACTGTAACCCAGGCCCACTGGAGAACAAATAAACCTATACTATACAACACCTACTCCCTTGCCTAACAATGTGTACTGGTTAGAACAGAATCTTCTAATATTAGGAATGGTAGCGTGAGAATCATTTCATAACTGCAAACACAGGGAAAAGTGATCAAAAAATGATGGATGACTCATTGTCAAAGAAACACTTGAATCATCTTGACCACCCCCTTAGGTTGATCAAATGGGGAAACTTTTGGACCAAACTCACATTGTGCCATGAGTCTTCCCTTTGATTGTTATCACTGAGTTGTCTTGTCCCTATCAGGCCTATTTTAAACCTCTCACAATTTCCTTCTCTGTAAGTGGGGGAAAAAAGATTGTAGCTTTCTTTTGTTTCTCGTACTTATACTTGTTTCTTTCTCAGATCAGACAGTGAGTTGAGGACACAGATTATTTCTTATTTATCTTAAAATAACTATGTAACATATAGTAGGTTCTACTACATGTACTACATACATGTCAAATATACATTTAATTCTATATTCTTTCCCAGTGAAATGAGATTGTTTCTAACAAACTGAGGAAACAAAGACTTGCTTTGCATACTACTTTCTCTTAGGGTTCCAGGAACACAGAAATTTTGCCATGATAAGCATGTATGTATATTTGATAGAAGGGGTTGTTGAGAGATGGGAAAGAAAGGAAACAAGAGAGGAAAAGAAGGGGAGGGCAGAGACAAAAGGGAGAGAGAGGTTAAGAGGGAATACTATGTTCTAGATAATACTCTTGGTTTTAGGGATGCAACATTGAGCAGAACAGGGCCTCCCCTGGTGGCGCAGCAGTTGAGTGCTGGGTTGCGAAGCTGCCCACATCCTCTGCAGCACTGGTTCGATCCCCGGCCTCCGGGCAAGGGTCCCACATGGCATGTAGACCTCTCCTGCAGCGCCCGCTGCTCCCCTCAGCAGTGTACTTCGTCAGTCTACCTATTCTGTTCCCCGCTCTGGCTTTGGTGAATTCTCTCACCTCCCACGCTTCTGACTGCACCCAGTGCTTGTATAAATAAATAAATAAATCTTTTAAAAAAAAATTGAGCAGAACAGTCAAAAAAACCTGCTCAGTCCGTGTGTGTGTGCGCGCGCGCGCGCGCGCGCGCTGGAGGAATAAACAAAACAGCCAAAAAGTAAATAAGTACAATATAACACAGTGAGATGGTTATAAGTATTATAGAGAAAAAAAATGAGTTAGAGGAAAGAAAGAGAGAGTCCTGAGCAGACAGGGAAGGCCTTGCTAAGAAGATGCAACTTGAGCAAAGACTTAAAGAGGACCAGGTAGAGTAGAAAGTCTAAGGTCCCTGAGGTGGGGGAGAATCCGGATGTTTCCAGAATGGCCTGAAAGCCCGTGGAATTGGAGCAGAGCAGGTGTGGGCAAGCCTACAGAATTAAAGATTAAAGATCACAGAGGTGGCTCTGTGGGGTTGCATGGGCGGCAATGGTGGCTGAGTTTCAGAGGGATCTTTAAAGGCCCTGTGAAGAACAACTTTGACTCTGAGATGAAAGCCGTTAGAGAAAACGATTCGACTAGGCTTGAAGGGTCTGCTGCAGTGAGTGGGGGGATGTGGGTGGAAGCAAGAAAGCCAGTTAGTAGGTTGTGGCATTAGGACAGGTGGCTCAGACCTTGATGATGGAAAAGGAGACATTTGACCTAGGATTGATTATGTCAAAAATTCTCGCAAGTAGCTGGATCTGAACATGCAGTTTCTACTAATTGAGGGAAAATGCTTGAAAGGGAGGTTTTATAGTGAAGGGGGAGATAATCTCTCTCTCTCTTTCTTTCAATTCTTATTTGATATATAAAATATCAAAACTCAGGGAGGGTAAGTAATTTGTGGAAGGCCTCATAACTACTATGTGGTGATGTTGGGTTTGAAGTGACCATTTTAGACATCAAAATCCCTACTTTTCTTATCCAACTATAATCTTTTCAAATATTATCACTTTCAATCTTCACAACTTGTTTTTCATTTTTCAATAACCCCCCCACCCCCCGAAGGTTAGGGAGTTTAAATAACTGTCTTAAGTCATATAGTTAATAAGTGACTTGGTTCTGACTTCCAAGCCTCTATTCTTTCTATGAAACTATCCCTCCTATTGTTATACCTTACAGGGTGGTGGCACAGATTAGATGTCCAGAAAGTGCCCAGCAATTTGGTCATTGGTGTATTTTGAATTACTGATTGCTAGACTGATAACATTATATTTAGATTTGAATTTTATGTATTGTATTGCCCCCTACAGGAACTATAAATTCATTAAAATATTGGACTTAAAGTAATTCTTTTGATCCTCAGGTACAACAGAAATATTTATTAATATTCAACATTCATTGAGTAAATCACATAGGGTGCAATAGAGTATATTGGAAACAACATACCATGGGCATTCCTACCATATAGATCCTTGTGGAAGAGACACAAAGGTAGGGGCATGTGTGGTGCATGGGGCTATCAGAGTGCCTTATAGTTGAAAAAATCTAGACCCTTTCAGAATAGCCCTCCATCTGGGAGCAGAGAATGCCTTGTCTATTCTTGGGCCCCTGATGTGCTTGCCTGTTATCACTATGGGATTAATTCTGCATTGAGGACCTCCCTGGTAGTGCAGAGGTTAAAGACAGTGCTATCAAGCTACCACCACCACTAAAGTATGAGTTCGATCCCTGGCCAGGGAGCCAACCTACATGGTGCAGCAGACCTCTCCTGTCTTGCCTGCCACTACCCTCAGGAGTGTATTTCAGTAGATTTGCCTGTTCTGCTCCCCACTCTGTCTCTGGTGAATTCTCTCAAACCGCCCCACCCCCAGCTCTGGACTACAACCCAATTCTTGTATGCATAAATAAAAATAATAAAAAAAAGATATTAAAGGAATAATACTAAGAACAACTCTATACACACTTGAAAAATTAGATACAGTAGAACAATTTCTTGAAAACAACTACCAAAACTCATCCAAGATAGATAACCCAAATAATTCTATAGCACTTAAAAAAACAGAATTTGTTGTTAAATTTTCCCAAAAAAGCAATCTAAAGGCACAGATGATGGTTGCACTGGTAAATTCTACTTTACCAAATATTTAAAGAATTAACACAATTATATCCAATTCTTTCTAGAAATCAGAAGAAGAGACAACAGTATTAGGTCAATTTATGAGGCAAGCATTCCTTAAATCACAAAACTAGACAATTTTGCAAAAATAATTTTAGGGTTGATGTGGTGGCAAGAGTCAGAGGGATTCAGTGCAGGAGTAAACAAGAGGAAAGGAAGAGCTTCTTCATACACTTTCATTCATCTGGACTTGGATTCTTGAAGTTTGGTTTGAAGATGATGCTCATCTTAAACACCAAGCCAAGCTAAATCGGAATTTCAGTTAAGCTTTGCATTTCTGGAAAATCACACAGTTAAGTAAAAATTAATTATGCATGTTTAGGGTTTAGACATATCTTTTTTGCAAGACTTAAAATTAGGTAAGTCAGTTCAACACTGCTAATTGCCTCCCTACAGTGTTGCAGACAATAAAATGTACATAAAGATATACAAGAAAAGAGAACTGTGTTTATTCAACCTAACCTCTTCTTTTGAAAGATGACTCAGAAGTGAAGTAACTTGGCCAACATTCTGCTTTATCTTCTTACCCCCTCTCCACTACCACATTTTGCTAGTTTCCAAATCTTTCCCATCACATAAAGCTGTTCTCCATCACAAATATAGCACTCATGCAGCAAATATTGATAATCTCATGTTTGGTCCATTCTAAATAGATTTTCATAGTCAGATGAACCAGGAATTTATGGGAAAGGCAAAATTACATTTACTGGCAGTAAATGGGCAGCAAATTCAGTGTGTAGAGGGTGTGAGTATGGTTTTGATGGATGTGTAGATGTGGTATTAACAGAAAGAGGAGGTACAGTGAAACAGAATATCTTTTGAAAGCAAAACAAGAAGACCTGACAGAAAAAGATTGGGGTAGGTAGGAACCTACAAATAGATATTTGATTCTTCCTCTACCTGGATATTAACCTTTTAGAATTTTTTTTTAATAATATTTATTTATTTGTTTATTTATTTATTTATTTATTTATACAAGAACTGGGGTATAGGCCAGAGGTGCAGGGGGTGAGAGGATTCGCCAGAGATAAAGTGGATCTACTGAACAGGTGGATCTACAGAAATACACTGCTGAGGGGAGCAGCAGGCAAGATAGGAGAGGTCTGCTGTGCAATATGTGGGTTGTTAGCTCCCTGGCCAGGGATTGAACACAGTCTGTGGCGTTGATAGTGCTGAGACTTAACCCTTAGGCCACCAGGGAAGCCTAACCTTCTAGAATTCTTTGATAAAACTCTGAAAGTTTTTGTGTTTCACTCTAAGAGACAGTTCCCTTAGCATGGTCCCAGGGAGTATATTGAGAGAACAGAGAGAAGATAAGTTGAAGGGAGAGAATGGGCGGCCTTCAATGTGAGACGAAGTTTAGGAGCCTGGTAAATAAGCATGCGGTTAGATGGGAGGGTCTCTGAGTTCCTTCACTTACCGACCTTTGTGTAACCTTAAATAAGTGTCTTGACTTCTCTAAGCCTCAGTTTATTCCTAAGATGGGTGATATGTGAGAATTGCGGAGAATACATATGTATTTAAATACAGCGCCAAGCTTATTAAATGAAATACTTAATAAATGTTAGGTTTCACTTTTATTATTAATTAGGAGTATGGCTTTATTCTGCAGGAAATGGCCAAACACAATGCAAGCCAACATTTTGAGACACAAATAGTTTCTGTCTTTTATAAATTGATCTTTATGTGGCGTAAACTGGAAGGTCTAGGCTCCTCAATGGGAACTGTAGAGATAGAGTTGAGTGCAGAGACCTGAGCTCAAATGGGATAAATAATGAGACAATACTAAAGATGCAAATGACGCACTGTGGATGGAAGGACAGGAGACAGGAAGTAGGGACAATATTTGTTAAGTGGCATCAATGTCCATAGCAGACTGGACTGTGGGAGGAAGGGACACTGGGTGGCAGTTAGTGCTGTAAAAGGCCTGGAAACCGAAGAGCCTGAATAAGCTGCTGATCAAATTTCTCCAGGACGGTGAGGGGATTATAATGTTCTGAGAGATCACTCCAGCTTAAAAAGAGGAAGTAGCAGGCTCTCATATGCCTGCCTCTAAGAATTTATGATGTTGGCTACCATGCTCCCAGTGCTTCTGTATTTAGCCATTTGTTTTTTTAATGATTATATTTTAAAAGGCAACAAAATAGAGGTGAATAGTGTCTGCTTCATTTGTTTGTTGTAGATTTATTGTCAGACTTCAAAGTAGGGAGGTAATGGGACAGGGAATACAATTGATATTCCTGTAATCAGTCATTGCAGCAACTTAGATATTTAATGTGTGTTTATAAACAGATGCATATGGACAAAAGATATTCTATGAAACTCATTTATGAAGACTTGCAGTTGCATCATTCAAAAGTTTCCATTCCAGTCATTACACTTAAATTTTTTTTTTTAAATGGGATTGTAATTCAGTTATTTCTTCCCTGGAAGTAGAATGCCTGGGTAGACCAGGAAGCTCACTAATGAGCCCCAGTGGTCCTCATCCCTAGTTGTACTGTAAAATCAGCTACAGGACTTTAAAAATGTATGTGCCTGGTTTGGGCTCCACTCCAGAGCATTTAAATTAGACTCCCCAGAAGTAATTTCCTTTAATTTACTCTAAAAGAATCTAAGATTTAAAAAATAGAGTTGGCACAACATTTCTAGCTCTTATAACGAAATTCTTGGCTTAATGAATCTTCTCTGAATAACTTTTAGAGTATTAAAATTGTTCAAACTCTGACCCAGCATATTTATCCTGAGGAAAAGAGCAGGAAAAAATGGTCATGGTGTATGCAAAAAATTACTAGCCATGAGTAGTTGCAATAATGTTTTTAAATAGTGAAAGTTGGAAGCAATCTACATGTACAACAATAGGAGAATTAAAATAAAAACTAGGGTGCAATAATTTAATGGACTATTTTGCATCAACTATAAGTAATTTAAGATAACTATTTAACACTTTTAACATGCACGTAATTCATTAAGAGAAAGAAGGATATTATACAATAATATATAAGATGAAATATACTTCTGTGAAAAAAATCCATGTGAAAAGTATTTATATAAATAGAAAAAAGACTGAAGGAATATATATTCCAAAATATTGTCATTTATATAAGGTGATAGTATGGGCAATATGATGATATTAATATCCTTTATTAGGCCCAATATTATTTTTCAGATTTTCTATACTATGTATAAATTATTTTTATAATTAGATAAATGTTATTAAATTAAAAGCAGTTACAGAAATGCCACAGAATTAACATTGAAGCATTATTCTACAGAGCCACCCACTTAAAATGTTTAAAGTAATTAACCCCCTCATTTTGCATATGCTACATGAGTAAATAGATTCTATAGGTTAAAGAAACTTACAGAAATATCTTCAATTTTTCTGTGAATATAACAATTGGTGGGTCCTTGTACAATGTATGATTGACTTAAGAAGGAGAACCTGGAACAACTGGCTTAATTTGGCGAAGAAAGAAGACAGAATTTTATGCTCAGTGATTGGTTTTTGCAGTTGTTCTGAACGCCTAGGCTAGTCTCTTCCTTAATATTTTATAATTAGGAGCAGATGCTATGAGCTTTATAAGTGGTTTCTTCCTCCTCTCACCTCCACCCCCCCATCACCCCCCGTCTTTGGAAGTTAAATCCATATCTGCAGTTAAGGAATTGGTGGAATAGATGATGAGATGGATGGCAGATTTGTATACTTCTGCATTTAAAAAAGTGATCTAAGTATCCTGTGTTAGAATTGGACTGTTGTGACAGGTTGATATAACATTGACATTTGCTTATAAAATGTCTGCAAACATGAAACTGGGAGAACACAATAATATTAACTGATTGGGCAATTGATGTAAATAATCATAAAATTGAGCAGATTCCCTTCCCCCAAGCTGATTGGAGTTAAGACCAGCTAAGAACCTGAAGGTGAGTTCAAGTTTGTTCTATTTGAGAATATATCCTTGTTTTGTGTGGGAAGTGGAGCTGGGGTGGGGATCTTAATAACTTCCTGAGCTAAAAGGAAAAAAGAAGAAAATATTCTCTCTCCCTTATTTTTTGGTCGTGTAATATATGTTGAGTTATCTTGTTTCCAAATAGAGGGAATTAGAAATTCCCTCATGACTCCTTGCCTATAGGAGGCAAGGTGCATCTGGAAGGTATAGTCTTCTAGTGATATCTTGAGGAATCACTGATAACTCCCCCAGCTTAATCACCACTATGAGTGGAGACTAGCCAGATTTTGGAGAGGGTAGAATTCAACTAATGAAGATGAGTCTTGGAAATCATCTACATACCTGTCTAATTCCCCAGATGACAATGGCTCACCCCAGTCTATCCGAGAATACCCAGCATTGTCAGGGTGGAATTCAGACTTTTCTGACTCAGTGTTCTCCTAGTGAATTCCCTCTGGCCTTCTAAACAATGCTATCTCTTATGATGAAACTGGGGAGAATTATAGGGAGGGAGACTGTGGGCCCACCAACACTCATAGACTAATGGGAGGGGGGAGTTCATAGAATATTCATTGTAGGAAAGGAGTGGCAGGGAAGCACTGGAGGGGAGATTGGGGAGCAAAGGAATTGCCAAAGTCAGCTGTGGGGTGATAAGGTCAACCTGGCAATGACAGCTCTTATGTGGAACAGGGAACAAGTAAGAGAGAAACATAAAGGAAGAGCTGACCACATTTGGATATAGATAAGTTTCTTTTTTTCATCCTTAAATGAAATGAAAAACCTTTAGTACCATTCCTAGAATTTGGTAAGTTCTTAGTAAACATGAACTTCATTGACCATAGCCTAGATTTTCTCTCTCTCTCTCTCTCTCTACCACTAATTGAGAAAATCTCCATATTTAAATTTGCCATGACCCCCACTGCTAGGCCAGTTTTACATTTTTGCTGGACTGTCATAGGGTTAGCTTTAAAGGCATATTAAAATATATGTTAACAATAAATTGTGCTGCTAATATGTCTTTACAACATATTAATACATGTCTTTAAATATATATTACTTTCTTTCCCTCCCTGAGCATATGCACACATACATATGCATGCAAACCTTCTTATGTACATATTTGGAATAATAGCATTATCTAGAAAGATACACATACATTGAACGATCATAAAGTTTATATGCACTTAAAGACGCATTAGTTTTATCTAGGAATATTTACATAATGTGCTCATGAATTTTTGGCTTCTAACAGTAAATGAGGCATGTATTTTGTAATTAATGCAAAAACAAAACAGTTTTCACACTTAAGTTGTATTCAGTAAATAGTCATGAATAAAAATGCCAACCTTAAAATACTGCCTTTGGTATTTGCATTATGCATTTATTATTATTGAACAAAAACTGCTCTACTCATTCATTTGTTGGGATAAACTTTACAATGTGATGAATGATCTGTTTTTTCTTTAGTCCTATAATGGAAGTGTAAAGAAATGGGATTTCTTTGCCTAGAGAGCCTACCTAGTGAGTATATTATTTCCAGAATGGGTACTATAGGAAGTGGTGAGAAGCTGCTGTATCTCATTTCCAATGATGCTACAAGGAAGCTGTGGTTGACGCTTTAAAATGCCTTTACTGTGAAGTAACATAGATGAACCATTAAAGAAATTTATGTATTCCTTTTTTTATGTTTCAAGAAGGCAACTACTTATCTGAGCTTAATTAAGTCAGTCTGTCCCACTGACTTAGCCCATTCTAAAAAGAAATGTCTTCTTCCTCCTCTCCTCATCAGGATCCGGGCTAAGGATAGCACTAGTGTAGGCAGGGGCTTTTTGGAAGAAGGGTTGGATTCAGTGGGTGGATCTTGGTAGGCAGTTTAATATCACCTGCTCCCCACACAACTCCAGCTGACTGGACCAGGATGGAAATTGTAAACAGAGAAACTAATCAGAAAGCTGGTCAGAGACACCATATCATATGGCATTAAAATATGAACTGGACCTACCCTATATACTTTCTCAAGAAATTATGAGAGAATATGCATTTTAATGGTGGGTGCTGAAGTTGAAAAGAAGTCATGAAATAGAGAAGGGTTGTGACCACCCATTTGCTAAAAAAAGCAGCACTCAGTATGAGCAAGTAGAGGAAATGATGGCTAAAGAGAGGATGTTATACAGATCCAGGGGTGAGAGAAAACACATACCAGGGTTCATGTGACTAATGAGAATGCTTAATTCACGATGGTTTTTCAGACATGTCAAGAACCATAACCCTTCCTTTTCTGAGTCTAAATAATTGGCCGACTTTGGTCACAAGGAATAGAAAACCCAAGAGGGGGTCCTCCCTGGTGGCGCAAGGGGTTAAGCATCAGCACTATGAAGCAATCCATTGGCACTGCAGCACGAGTTTGATCCCTGGTCAGGGAGATGACCCATGTGGTGTAGCAGACTTCTACTGCCTTGCTTGCTGCTTCCCTCAGCAGCGTATTTCAGTCAATCTGCCTGTCCTGCTCCCCAGTCTGTCTCTGGTGAATTCTCTCTCTCTCCCCACCCCCAAACCTCTGGCCTGTACCTCAGTTCTTATATGCAAAAATAAATAAATCTTTTTTAAAAATAAAAAATATAGAAAACCCAAGAGAAAGTGATTTGAACTAGGATACATTTATAATTTCACCTAACTCAGAGTCTGGAAACCAGAATGGTTTTAGGATGGTTTGGGGATGTCATCAGGGGTACCATTTCATTCTCTCTTTCCTATTTTCTGTACTCAACAGTATGGCTTTTGGCTAAGACTTATCCCATCATGGATGCCTGATGCACTTAACAGCTCCATTTAACAACCTCATTTTCCCAGTCATGTATCTCTGAAGACCTCCCAACCCGTGCCAGTGTGGACTCATGTCTCCCTAGACTGCCTGCTCAGCTGTTATTGTGAGATTTCTCTTGATCTTCATTCTGGAGTTCCTGGGTATAATTGTTGTGTTCAATTCCTTGCTTCCCAGATTTCTTGTCTTCAATTTGCTTGGTTAATTCTCTTTTTTGGGTGAAGAAAATCCTCCAGTAGCTTTCTTTTTTTCAAAAAAGATTTATTTATTTTTGCGTAGAAGAACTGGATTACAGGCTAGAGGTGGGGAGTGAGAGTGAGAGGATTCACCAGAGATAGAGTGGGGAGCAGAACAGGAGGACATCAGGGAGCAGGGGGCGAGACAGGAGAGGTCTGCTGCGCCACATGTGTGTTAGCTCCCTGGCCGGGGATTGAACTCAGGTCACATGGTAATAGCACTGAGACTTAACACCTAGGCCACCGAGGAGGCCCACCTCCAGTAGTCTTCTGAGATAGGTTACATGGGAAATTTTTTTTTTGAGATTTTGAGTATTTGAAAGTATCCAATTGCAATCTAATATTGGAGTGATAGTTTTCCTGGACAAAGTTTATAGTTTGGAAGTAATTTTCACTCAGAGGTTTGAAGCATTGCTTACAAACTTCTGGCTTCCAATGTTAATGCAGAGAAGTCAATGCCATTCTGATTTTTTATCCTAGTATGTAATATGATCCCCCCATCAAATATATACCTTTTTCATTCCCAATGTTTAAATTGTTATTTGAGACTTTGCTTGTTTATTGATATGGGTCTGCATTGTTATAAACTTCCCTCTTAATACTGCTTTTGTTGAATCCCAAAGGATTTTTGTTGGTCTCCACATAACTTTTTATTTCTTCTTTGATTTCCTTACTATCCCATTAGTTATGCAAAAGCATTTTGATTAGTCTTCACTTTTTTTTTTCAGCTTCCTTTTTGTGGTTGATTTCTAGTTCATGCCATTGTGATCAGAAAAGATGTTTGAATGTGATTTTAATTTTTATATATTTATTGAGGTTTGTTTTGTGTCCTAACATATGATCCATTCCTTTTTTTACAGTATCTCCAAATATTATTTATACTTTTCATATAATGACTTTTTTTTTCCAAAACAGGAATATCTTGGAAAGCATGAAAAATCATGGACTCAAAATGGTCATCATTACTATAATACTAATTGTTGATACATGTAAATCCCAGAACAAAGAAAAATACACATTTCATATTTTGGCTGATTGATACACTGTTGGCAAATAAGAAATAAAAGAACATTACAAAATAAGATTTAAGAATAATTGTAGCAGTTGGAAAAATAACAAAGAAATGATCTCAAACAAATATCACATATGATCCTTTCTTAAAAATGTTCTATGTACACTTGAGAAGAATGTGTATCCATTTCTTTTGGATTGGAAAGCTCTGTATATGTCTATTAAGTTCATTTGATCCATTACTTCATTAAAGACCATTATTTTCTCATTTACTTTCTGTCTGGATGATCTACCCATTGATGGAAGTGTGTGTTGAGATACCCTATTATTACCCCATTATTACTGTGGTCCTGTCAATGCCTTTTTTAAGTTTGTTAATAGTTGCTTTGTATATTTAGGTGCATCTGTGTTGAGTAAATATTAATGACATTTATATCTTCTTGATTAATTGTCCCTTGGCTTATGTTTCCAATGTTTTGAAATTTCATGTTGATGTACCTATTTTTATTAATTATGTTTGGCATTGAGCAGAACCTTTCATTGTAGAACTTATGACCTGCAGTACTTGGATTAAAAAAAAAGCAACAAACCATTCTTTCATAATATCTTCCCCTATGGTTTTTTCTTTTTCTTTTCTAGAAATTCTATTTGGATTTGGGTCTTTTTGCTCTACTATTTCCCTCTAGCCATGCACCTTCTGTTCTATTTTAGGGAGATTTCAGTTTTATCATCTCATCCTTTTTTTTTTTTTTTTTTTTTAATAGAGGCATGTTTTATTTATTTATTTGTTTGTTTGTTTCGTTTTTACATGCACTGGGTACAGTCAGAAGCACAGGAGGGTGAGAGAATTCACTAGAGCCAGAGCGGGGAGCAGAGCAGGCAGAAGGACCGAAGTACACTGCTGAGGGGAGCAGCGGGCGGCAGGAGAGGTCTGCGCGCCATGTGGGACCCTCCTCTGGTGGCCGGGGAGCAGCCGGGGATCGAACCGGCGCCGCAGAGGCTGCGGGCAGCTTCGCAACCCAGCACTCAACCGCTGCGCCACCGGGGAGGCCCTCATCCTTTTTTTTCTTGAAAATTTTCATATCCCTTATTTTTAATTTTTAAGAGATCTTTTCTGTTCTTTGAATCTTTCCCTCATACCTTTCTTTAAAAATAAAATACTTGTTCCTGCTTTATACATGCAAAATATACTCTTATCTCCCTGAGGACATTAGTGACATTAAATAACAGTTCATTGTCTAAGGGCTTATCTGAGTGGAGCTCTGAGTTTGGGCTGGGATCAGCTGGAAAGAGCACTATGCTCAGTGAACAACGTGTGTGGGTCTTGATGGGGAGTGGACATATGGGTCATGT